ATAGACAGATCAACAGATAGATAAAGAGCGAGAGAGCGAAAGAAATAGAAACAGAGAGAGAGAGACAGAGAAAAAGAGAGACAGACAGATAAACAGAAACAGACATACAGAAAGAGAGACATACAGACACAGACAAAGAGAAATCATAAAAGAAAAAAAAGAGACAGAAGACAAGAGACATAAACAAGTGAACAAAACCTGCCGCAGAGGGATGTGAACGAAGGGTTCAAGACAAGCCAGTCCGCGAGGGCAGCTTAAAGGCGGGAATAAAATGACCTCTGCATTTCCAACTGTACTTCAAGGCTGTTTTGTTTAATTGACATAAAAGAATACACAATAAAACAAAACAATTAAAAGAAAAACAAATAAACAGGAGAAAGTATACACAAATGAATATTTACCAGAGTACGTTGATTCACCTGCTTATATGTTGACTAAGGCGATATCTATCTGTGAAACCTTCAACAAGATTTGCAAATTTGCCAACGAAACGGGCATACGATAATAAAGAAGACGGAATCCGGGAGGAAGAAGAAGAAAAAGAAGAAAACAAAGTACAGGAAGGAAAAGCAGACAGGACAGAGAGATAGAACGAAAGACAAATCATTGGAAAGAAAAAAAAACAAGAAAAAAAGGAAATGAAAGAAGGAAAAATTAAAAGAAAAAGACTTATAGACTAAAAAATAAATAAAAATAAAAAAAAAAATAAAAAATAAATAACAGACCTCCCCCCCAATCTCCCTCTACCATATCGGAAGGCAATCACATTTCTTCGCGTCGGGCAAATATTCACACACTTTCTGCAATTGAACAAATCACCTGTGCAAACACACCTTAACCGGCCGCCTGTGATCCCTTTTTCTCGGTCTTTTAAGGTCTTTCATTAGCACTTTTATTCCAGTTTAATCGTACGATTTATTGGGTCTTCACGAAATGGCACTTGTAGTTTTTTTTTTTTTTTTTTTTTTTTTTTTGTGAGTTAGGATTTTGTGTATTCTCCTTTCCGTTTCACATCGTGCCTTCCTTTTTACTATTAATATTCTTCTAGTTAACTACATCCATTAATAATCTATGATATTTTTTGGATCTCGGAAAATCCAAAGCGTAAATGCAGTTCATTGACACCAAAAAAGAGAAGAAAATAAACAGCCTGTATGCC